ATTGCTGAGGGTCTACGACCTGCAATATCAGCATAAGCCCAGTCGAACACAAAACTTTCACAGATTAGGCTGGGTATTGGGGTGATTGCAATAGGTCGTAGCTGATTTAAGGATTGTGGGCTGGTTGACTTGGGCACTGGTGATACATAAGAGGTCTTCCAGTCAGCTGGGCATCTGGCTTGACTGAGAGAAGCATTGATGATGGAGCATAGGGGTTTAGCAAGCTCCGGGGAGAACTCCTTGAAGAGTTTCATTGGTAAGTCAATGGGGGTGGTAGAGCGTTTTAATTTTAGTTTGTCCAGGCGTTTTGCTACTTCAAATTCTTCTACTAAGTCAGTGGGAAGGGGGGCTGGTAGGTAAGCAGGGAGAGTGGTTGTGTCAAGCCGGGGGAGCGTCTGGCATATAGTAGCGAAATGGTTATTTGTTTGCTCAGCTGCGTCAACATTAGTGAGATGGCTAAGGAAGGGGAGGGGGTGTGTCTTATTGTTTAGTCCACAGAGTTCTTTAAGCTTACCATACCATTGACTGAAGTTGGTCTGCTTCAGGTGTTGTAATTTGGTTGGGTAGTGGGACTTCTTTGCAGTGCGTATTTCGCGGATGACTCGGTTGCGAAGGGACCTGTAGTGGATGTGGTCATTGAGATGAAAGGCTCTGTCTCTCTGTTGCATAAGTCTTTTGATCCGAGGTGTGATCCAGGGCAAGTCAGCTGGGTGAGATCTGAAATGTGCCCAGGTGGGGTAACCCCATAAAAAAATTCTGATGTGAAGAGATGTTTGATTTTTTTACATTAATGCTTATTTTCTGTTTCAGGCTCGACTACTAATGGATAAAGAATGGACTGGGAAGCCTGTTTTATCTGTCAACAAGTCACCACCTAACAGAGGTAAACTTCGCCTTGGAAAGAAGTCTGACCTACTGACATGCCTGGTAAAGACAGCAGAAACAGAAGCACCAAATTCACTTGACCTTGATCTCGATGAAGCAGTTGATTTGTTGACCATCTTGGAGCAACTGAACGAAATAGTACTAGCAATGGAAGTCAAAGTTCTAGATACTGCCCCTTAGCTGCTTACTTCTCTTGAGCAAACAACCGAAACAGAATTACCAAACTCTTTTGATGTGAAGGTATTGGATGGTGCTGCTGTCGTGCACCTCCTCCCAACAGTGGCACAAGCACTTTTGCAGACTATGCCACCGATGTCTTCTTGCCCCCCATTTTGCAGCAGCTGGAGGGTTTGTAGGGTTACGTGAGGTTATTTTGTCTAGCACTCAGGATGGATGGAAACTCTAGGTGGTGGTTTTCTTATATAAAATATATTATATACAAGACAGTCTGGTGCTGGAGATGCCGTGTGGTGAGAAACTTGCTCAAGAGACACGGTCAGTGAGTAGCGTGCTTGAGGAGGTATCTGTGCAGGAGCTTCGTTAGAGGAGATGTTGCGTGTTGCTGTCCTCCAGGTTGAATGAGAGCTGGACAGCGAGGAGCTTGCTCAGAGGAGATGCATTCTGCCCTAACTTCCTGAACACGCAACACCTCCTCCAAGCAAGCTCCTCGCTGTCCAGCTCTCATTCAACCTGGAGGACAGCAACACGCAATATCTCCTCCACGTGTGACTTACTCCAGCAGCAAATACCTACTCCAGAGGGATGGGGATGGTCAATGGACAGAGACAGCCACTCCTGGACTCCAATGTGGACAACAATACCAACGGCTTCCAAAGCATGCAAGGAGTTGGTGAAGTGTGGCTGCTAGGGCATAGCTGGCTGCACTGACAAATGTTCTTGCAAGAAAGCTCAGTGGGAAGGCACAGAACTATGCCAATAATGTAAGTGCAACTGTGTCAAAGACTGAAACACTGACCCACACAGCACCGTGGAGTCCAGCATAGAGGATCCTTAAATCCTGGGCTGGAAAACTATATTAAGCAATTAAGTAATATTTATATATTTAAGCTCGTGTCAGTGTGTGTGTGTGTGTGTGTGTGTGCCCTTATGCACGTCACTGTCTCATGATATACGCATCTAATGTCAGAATAAATGTTTCATTCGAATAAAATATTTCTGAATGTGCATTCAGCTTTCGCGACTTCTTAAATGTTTCACGTGACAGCATCCATGAGCATCAATCTCGTGGATTCTACCAAAAAGTTTTATTATAGGACCAAACAAAACGCCTTACAAGTTAGATACTTGTTAAACCAATCCCCATCATTTGGCTAAACTACTCGCTAAATGGACCTAACTAACAGGGGTTCCAAACCTTTTTCGGTGGGCGTACTCCTTTGTACATCAGGTATCCCCCCCCCCCCACCAATGGTGACTTAGTAATTTTTTATTTATATTTCTTTAATAAACTAAGTGTAGAATGAACCGAAAAAAATTATACATGTGGCATATTCTGTATACTCTCGCTATACCTTTGGCTCCTCGAAATTAAATCTAACGTAACCTGCTGATGAGGTTTCATATTATTGTACTGTAGGGGTATCGAGATATTAATGTTGTCTAGCACTCAGGATGGAAGGAAACTCTAATGTGGTTTTCTTGTATAATATAAGTTATATGATAGACAGTCTGGTGCTGAAGGTGCCGTGTGGTGAGGAGCTGGTCAGTAGAGACGTTCGGTGAGTAGCTTGTTGAAGGAGGTAGATGTGCAGGAGCTTCGTTAGAGAAGATGTTGCCTGTTGCTGGCCTCCTGGTTGAATGAATGCTGGACAGCTAGGAGCTTGCTGGAGGAGGTGTTGCGTGTTCAGGAAGATGGGCCAGAATGTGAGTTGGTTGGTGAGGAAGCTCAGAGAAGGACAGCTGGTGGGTCGCCATGCTCGCTGGCGGGAGCGAGGACCGCCAGGCAGGCGAGGAGAAGCGAAGGCCGCCAGGCAGCGGCAGAGGAGGAGGTGTTGCTTGTTCAAGAAGAATGGTCAGAATGAATCTCAATGGAGAGACAGAGCTTATATACCCAGCAGCAGCCGCCATGAGTCATGTTGGGAAAACCCGAGAAGTAGCCGGTGACTAGTTCCGTTGCTAAGATACGGTAACATCTGGGGACAGCTCTCGCTTGGTTGCTAGGCAACGGCACGTTGGAATGTGATAGCAGGTGGTGGCGGTGCTACGCAGTTTGTAGGGGAGACGTCCACTACAGTACCCTCAACCCCAGATTTAGAACCACTGACATAGTAGGTTGTAGGGTTACGTGATATTATGTTGTCTAGCACTCAGGATGGATGGATAGAAACTCTAGATGGTGGTTTTCTTATATAAAATATATTATATGGAAGACAGTCTGGTGCTGGGGATGCCGTGTGGTGAGAGGCTGGCTTGAGAGACACGTTCAGTGAGTAGCTTGATAGCTTGAACAGCGTGCTTGAGGAGGTATCTGTGCAGGAGCTTAGTTAGAGGAGATGTTGCGTGTTACTGTCCTCCAGGGTGAATGAGGGCTGGACAGCAAGGAGCTTGCTTGGAGGAGGTGTTGAGTGTTTAGGAACGTAGGCCAGTAGTAAACCCGTGGGAACTCGCCGGTTTCTTGACTCCGTTGCTAGGCTAGACGTTGCAGGTGGCGATCCCCCCCTGTGTTGCTAGGATACGGTAGCAGCTGGTGACGCCCCCCCTGGGCCGCTCGTTTGGTTGCTAGGATACTGTCACATTGGAATGCGGATGTAGTTTGTAGGGGAGAGATCCACTACAAGGTATTCACGATAATTAATTATCTAGTTAGGCTAGTCTCAGTATAATTTCGATATTATTTTTCTAACATTTACTTAATATCTATTAGAAGATAAACAAAAGGAAAATATTTTTTTTCCTTACGATTTAAAATTTCTCTCATATTTCTTTTATTTATTTGATGCTAAAATTAAAGGTTCTGATTTAGATAGAATCTCCGTATAATCTGGAATATTATTAAATGTTTATTTTGTGTTTTAGCGTAAATCAACCAGTCAGGGTAATTTATAAATCTCCATTCTTGAAGGTAATCCCCGAGGTTTACCAGATATCAAGGCCAGGGAATGGGAAATAAGGTGGAATGCTTATTGTGGGGTCAAGCAGCTCAGCCAAGTCCACGCACACTAACACACAACGTATCGCTTGTATATAATATGATACTGCCTTTAAGAGTTTCACTTTCAACGTTAGGATAAAAAAATGAAATTAACTGACAATTATGTGACAAATTCATTACAGTTCAGTGAGATAATTAATTAGTTTTCCTTTCACTATGACCGGAATCTCTCGATGGTTAGGGAATCGGTCTTGTGTTCAATTTACAATTTTCCCTTAACCTGTAAAGTACTAAAATTATACAAACGTCACCAAAGTATTCTCCTTCGGTTAAGAGAGGATAAAGTAAAGTTTGGTATATCATAAAGGTTACCACAGCTGTGTTTTCAAGAATAACGTTTCTCTAAATCTCTAATTGTAATTAGTGTAGATATCAAAATCCACGTTAAACATGAGTGTTAGAGGTATAACGTACTCTTTATACATATCAAACTCATCGTGATAATAAGACAAAAGGGACAATACGTGACGAAAAGGTCACTTCGTCTGCCGTTAGTCTGGAAAGTTTCCGTTTTGGGGATAGGTAACAAGGAATACCTGCGTACGAAGGTAACTATGATGATTATTTATTGACCTTTACTAATTTCATATCACAAGAACTAATTAATACACTGATGTAAGTTTATAAATATTATATTATCTTATTATTAAAGAAAATAAGTCCATATTAGGTAATACAAAAAATAATTCCATAGAGAATGCGTTGCCAAATATAGAAGAGGCTCTAGAATATCCAGAGCGCCATGTGACGGGTGTGAACAAGTTGTTTATCGCAAATCAACTTTTTTCGCGATAATTTGGACTCTATTAAAGATTAAATTGATATCCATTAATATATTACATATTGTTTATATATTTTACGGTGTATGTGCCGTTAGACATATGTATTTGTTTACAAACATTGGAATGTAAACAAAAATCTCGCGGCGCGCGTGTGTTTTGTCCGGGCGGCGGGGCAGAGTGGTGGTGCGCACGCGGGTTGTGTGTCTAGCCGTGTCGCCATCTTCACCGGCTCGTAGGTTTCACACGATGTCTGCTCCTTTAAGGGGGCCCGATCAGCATGCTTGGGCCCTGCTAGCCCTCCAGAAGTCCGCGCCAACTTCCCCTCACCGCGTGCCGTGGTCACCCGACAGAAAGGGAACCCCCATTGCAAGGTTGGAAGGGAAAGAATTCGAATACATGGTGCGGCAGAGTCGGGTGGTGATTGGGCGCAACTCAAGCAAGGGCGATGTCGATGTAAACATGGGCCACAATAGTTTTATATCGCGCCGACATATCGAGATATATTTCGAAACGCCCCATTTCTACATGATCTGCAACGGAAAGAATGGTGTCTTTGTGGACGGTGTGTTCCAGAGGAAGGGCGCCCCACCTCTCCAGCTGCCCAGACAGTAAGTGATGACTATACCGCGTGGATATAGCTTCATACCCTTATTTACTGAAGTTTTATATAAATATATTAAGGTAGAAAACCAGATGTTGGAATGGAAGTGTCTAGTTTGTGTGTGACATTCCTTGACAGTTGAATGAAGAATGTCAATAATTTTTGTCTAGGTTATTTCAGGGTTGCTAGTAGCCAGGGTAATGTTAGACCAATATGAAATATCCAGGGGAAATTGGTAGAAGCCAGACATAAGTATGTAAAACTTGTGAACAGTACCAGTAAATGTTACCGTAGCTGTATACAGTGAGCACCTGAGACCAATTAAAAGTATATATGTTACATGATTATATTTCTATATGGAATTTCCTTATTTTAACTTTATTTATTCCTTTTAAAGTGATGCACTATTCATAGCCCTTGAATGAAAGAGAACATGAGAAATTTGATGTAGAATTATGCCCTATGCCCTCAAATCTAAATTTCCCTTAGATCTACAGCTGTCAGTGAGAAATCAAATAACATAACCAAGCACCGTTGTACATAAAGAAGTTTTTGTATTTTCTCTTCTATATCTTGCTAAATATTAGAGAGTATAAGAATAAATTGAGTAGTTTATGAATGATATTGAAAACTTTATTTATTGGTTAGATGTTTTGTCAAATGATTGTATAAAGGTGACTTTGTTAAATTTAATAATACCATGAAAGTGACATTAGTTGGCAAAACTTTACTTTTTTGTATAGGCAGTGGATATTTTGCTGTGACTGGCTAAGTTCTTGCTATCGCTATTTTATCGTGAGTGTGCTCCAATAGGCTAATTGTCCATTACCGGCGAACAATGCGAAAAGAATATTTGATTGTGACTGGCGGCATTTGGCACTTATATCGCTGTGAGTCGATCGTTGTGTAGACCGTAAATGAGGTGTGCCCATTTTGTCACCAACCCGTTTCGTCATCAAATTTTTTTTAACCTGTTTCGTCACCATGTTCATTCCCATCACTATTTCAAGGGCTTTGGACCTTCATTATTTATTCACTGAAGCAGTGAAGATGTAATGACTGGTTTACTATCTTTGTGTACATACAATTACGACCCTCCTTTTTTCGGAAACAGTGTTGTTGAATTACCACTGGCAGTCTCGCCAGTCTCCAGTAATTTCCCAACGATCGGTATCAATGTATACAGACAAACAACGGGCCGGTAAATTTCCACCAGGTCACAGAAGCACACTTGTGCATTGTAGTCCTCCATAATAAACACTAATTCTTCATGACACTGTTAACAGGTAATGACGAATTGGACATTAGCATAGTCAGGGACAAGGCCGACAAGGAAGGTACGAAAACCTTAATTGTTGGCGATTTCCTGGTACGGTACCTGGACAGAGCTTTTTGTGGTAAAAATAAAAATAGGATGAGGGTGTGTTTGCCAGGAGCTGGGGTGGGGGATATAGTTGACAGGATGGACAATATCTTGTCTGGTAATGGGAACAAACCCATTATCTGCCTTAGTGCAGGAGGCAATGATATTGGCCGGTGTAGGAGTGAGGAGCTTCTTGATAAGTTCAAGACAGCTATAGAACGTATTAGGTCGAAGGGAGGGATCCCTATCATATGTGGTGTCCTGCCTAGAAGGAGAGTTGGCAATGAATGGTTGTCAAGGGCAGTTGGTATCAACAGCCATCTTGACAGATTTTGTAAGTCAATATCAGTCCCATTCATTGACAACTGGGACAACTTTTATGGCAGAAGTCTTTAAACTGCTAGGAGAACATGTGAACACGGGGGTGGAGGCGACTGCAGTGGGAGCGGGTAAACAAAGTGAAAGGTTACAGGAAAATAGTGCTAGGAATGATGACAAAACTAAATTAGGCAGGGAGTTAAAACCTAAATACGACAAAGAGAGGACTCAGAACACGACTAACTTAAATGTCTACTATGCAAACAGTAGAAGTATGAGAAACAAAATGGATGAAACCAGGGCGTTGGTATGTACATAAAAAATCAACAAAATAGCATTCACCGAAACGTGGATAAACCTAGACTCCCGTGAGTTACCTGTCGAATACCAAATTGCAGGTTACAAATTATTCCATACCGATAGGCAGATTGGGAAAGGAGGCAGAGTAGCAATCTATGTCAGGGATAATCTGAAGTGTGAAATAAATAAGGAAATAAAAACTGAGCGGAATACAGAAACAATTTGGATAGAATTAATCGATGGTAGGGAAAATGAATCACTGGAGTAATATATACCTGTAGACCTTCTAATCTTGATAGAGTTAATGAGCAACTTATTTGGGATGAAATGCGCAGGGCTTCCATACATAGCAAAGTCTGTATAGTAGGCAACTTTAACTTTAGCCAAATAGATTGGATTGACCTTATGGGTAACTCAGAATCAGAGGAATTTTTTGAAACAATCCAGGACTGTTTCTTAAGACCAACATATTACCGAACCCACCCAGGGTAATAATATACTCGATTTAGTTCTGTCAAACAGAGAAAGCCTCGTTAGTAATGTTGAGGTAGGGAACGAACGTCCTATCAGCGATCACAAAGAAATAAGATTTCAATTAGAATTTCAGGGCAACCGTAAGGAAAATTCCACTAAAGTCCCAGATTTCAGAAGGGCAAACTTTGATAGTTTGAAGAGGCAGCTGAGAGATGGGGTATCAGGCTTGTGGGTGAATTACATGACCTCACACAATGTACCCACAGACGGCGACCTCACCTTACCTGGAGACCTGACGGTTGAGGATGACCTGATCACGAGATCTGAGGTTGACGAGTTCCACAACAATTTAAATAATGAGTTACTTAATGCACAAAGGCAGAACATACCATACAGAAAACTCAGATCAGACAACAAGGACCCAAAATGGATAAATAATTATTTAGAGAATATTATTGGACATAGGAAGGCTATAGATAGGAGAATAAATCGTGGTGAAGTTTACCTCCGAGATTATTATAAGGTATTGGCCGGTAGGGTTAAGACCGAGATAAGAAAAGCAAAGTGGAATAATGAATTGAAGGTAGCAAGGGACACGAAGTCAGACCCCAAGGGATTCTATAAACACGAGAAAAGATTTGACCAATACAGTCAGATATATCGTAATTTTCGTCATTATCTACTACCTCGAAGACTTTCCTAAAAAAAGTCAGCAGATTTGTTAGACAAGATTTTCCCTTTGTAAACCCATGTTGAGAGTCGTAGATTAATTTGTTTTTCCCCAAATGCGACCGGATGCTATTTGCTATAATTGATTCAAGAAATTTCCCCACTACTGACGTCAAACTAATCGGCCGGTAATTTGACGCTGATGTTCTGTCTCCCTTTTTTAATATGGGTACTACATTTAACTGTTTCCACAAGTCTGGCACAACTCCCGTGTCTAATTATTTTGTAAATAAATTTACAAGGGGTCCTCTAATCTGTTCCTTACACTTTTAAAACTCGAGGGAAAATTTCATCCGGCCCTGGGGATTTTGTCTTCTTTAGTTTATTTATTCTCTTAAGAACATCCTCTTTTCTGATAGTGATATTCTTTAATTTCTCTTCTTCATTTCGCCTAAATATCAGTTCCACCCCTGGAATTTCCTCGTGAATTTCTTTTGTGAAAACTGGTAACAAGTAGGTGTTTAATGCTTTGCTTATTTTCTCATTATAATCGATCACTTCCCCTCTCTCTGACTTTAAAGGCCCGCACTTTGTCCTATATACCTGGAAAAATCCCTTGGGATTCGCCTTGGATTCTCTTGCTATCCTGATTTTGTAGTCCCTCTTGGATTAGAACAGTTCATATTTGATGAATTGTAGTTTCTTAACATACTATGGATGTCTTTTATAAGGGTTTGAAGTACACAAATAGTTAATGCACACTGATTTAAAATTTTTATATTATATACAGTGCTAGTATTGATAAAAGTTTTACAAGTATTTGTTTCTTCCAAATTGTTGAGAAACAGAAATACTGTAACGGTACTGGTACATAAAATCTGAAGTTGAAATAATTTTCTGTTGCTAAGCAACTAATGCAGGCAGACAAATCCTAGTGCTTTTGGGTAGGTTAGGAAATAATCTCTATCTTTTAAAAACATGCACTGTTGTTTCAATGGATAGGAGTATTGAAGTGGTAAGCATGTGTGCGTTCATAGTTTTTGATGGCTGAAGTGAATGTATTATTATCGTTTTGGTCATCCAGCGAGTTTTAGTATTTTAAGTTTTGGAATCCGTAGTTTAGAAAAATTTAAGTAGGGTGGCCATTTCGAAAAGGAGGAAAATGTTTTCAAATTTTTTGGGGCGACACCTATTTTTAACCTAAATTAAGCATGTTTAATGATGAGTTGAAAATATATAAAAAGTTGCATAAAATATATTTAGAAGAATTGTTGATTTGTCAAATATCACTATACTGTACTGTAATGTGATGAATGCTACTTTGTGGTCATTTTTCTAAAATTTAATTTTTTTGGAACGCACTGTATATAGTACATACATGCATGCATTCATACAGTATAAATAAAGAACTGAAAGAAATGAATAATCATTTCTACTCCTGCTGAAATAGCATATACTTGTACTGTACTAACCAAATTGAAGCAAGAACAAAAAAGTCAACGAGTTTCCACTGCGGACTTGGGCAGACTGACCATCTCGGACGTGTTGACGGTTTTGACAACTTGACTCGTACTGTCTTACACTGCGGCTCATATGCAGTGTTGACAACGGCAACTACATATAATAAAAATACGTTAACGGTTATTATGGCCTTCAGTTCCCGCTGTTTTAAGTATATGCAAGGTAATTTATATAATTCTTTTGTCAGACAACAAAAAGGAGGACAAATTAACGTCTGGCTCGGGATAGCGCCGGACGGAGGACAGAGTGCTCAAAGGCCGGACGTCTGGCCACCCTAAATTTAAGACACTTTCGTTCTACAGTATAGTGTTTCTATCTGAAATGTATATTTTTTCAAGTATTTTAACCAATAAAGTTACCAA